AAAAAAAAAAAAACATTGAATCTAGAGTCCAGATTCTTGAAAACATTGACAAGAAAAAATACTCTTAATTCAATCAAATTTAAACTTATATCAAAAGGAAATCCGCTCAGATTAAGAGGCTTGGTTCTTGATGTAAGCAAAACTCCGATTGAATCAAGAGTATTTTTTCTTGTTAATGTTTTTAAGAGTCTGGACTCTAGATCCGATGTGTTTTTTTTTCAGGTGTGGACAAATATTTGCAGAATTCCCTGAAAATGTATATTTTATCAGAGGAGTTTTGACAACGCCTGGGGTCTCATACGGCGTTCTTCCTAAGTATTCAGGATCGGTAAGACTCAAAGACACTCATTGGGAACATCCGTCGCAAAAAGTCCCAGGATTCTTACAAGAAGCCACCATCGTAGGCCCTCAATTCTAATTCAAGTCTCAGAAAATGGTAATAGGTCAGAGGTGGAGGAGTAGCCGCAAGTCGGGTTGCATAACAACTCGGGCGTCGGGCGGGGGGGAGGGCGAGGCGAAAAGAACTTCTCCGGAGCACGGACCCCGGCCCGGAATCGCGAAAGGTGCACAGCCGCGGGGTGTCGAGGAGTAAAAGTTCCAACTTTTGAGCCGCCTGGCCGCCGGTTATTTGCGGTTTTAATGAGACTTCGCAAGAGGCAGGAGGCGCGCCTCGCCGCAAGTTCTGCCGCGCTGAGGAAGAACGACATATGAACATTCCAGGGTTGCCAAATTTCCCAGGATAAAACATGGATTTTGTCGAAAATTCCTGCAGATTTTTTCTTGGAATTTTCGGATATTTTAGAATGAATTAGGTACAAAATTGTATCAGGGTGTCTACAAGTCCGGAATTTCCGGAGAGTCCGCAAATAGTACTGATTTTTCAAGGGCGGTCCGGAAGTACTGAAAAAGTGCGGAAATTCCGCAAAAAAGGTCCGGAATTTTCTTTAATTTTCTGTCATTTTTGTCGCAATTTCAAATTTTTGAAATTTTTCTAATTTCGTCACATGGATGTACTGAAAAAGTACGGAATTTTTCTGTTGGAGGAGGCGCTGAATTTCTTGAGAATGTACTGAAAAAGTACTGTAAAAGTACTTATTTTTGACCAGCCTGTTTTAGTAGACACCCTGTTGTACACTGGAAAAAAAAAGTCGCTTGGATCTAGAGTGCAGACTCTTGAAAACAATGGCAAGAAAGAAGACTCTTGATTCAATCGGATGTTTGCTTAAATCGATAGAACCAATTCTCTTAACAGCGGATTTTTTTTTATTCAAGCAAAAATCGGATTGAATCAAGAGTCTTTTTTCTCGTCATTGTTTTCAAGAGTTTGGATTCTAGATCCAAGCGACTTTTTTTCCCAGTGTATGCAAATTTTGAAGAAATGTTCACGATTTTCTAGGAGAATTGTGTCTCTATTGAAGGAAATATGGCAACGTCTGAAGTCTCACACGATGTTCTTCCTTAGCGCGGCAAGTTGGAGGCTGAGACGCCCCGACCGCTCCCTCCGCAATCCAAACACAACTGTATTTTAATTGTAATAAATACTCGGTTCCGCCTCACGCACAGACTCCTCTCCGCGCGGAGGTGGCATGAATGATGACGTAGTTAATTGAGCTACGTCATCTAATTATTGCCGCTTAAATGCCTCCGACGCCCCCCTCTCCCCTCTCGCTGCGTGCTTTTATTATTGTTGCGCCCGTTCGGGTGTCTACGCTATTCTCTGATTGTAAGAAGCTGAAATATTTAATTTTTTTTTTTTTTTTTGTGTGTGTTTTGTTTGGGGGTGATAAAACTTTTTGGAAGTCTTCGAGATAGAAGGAGCAACTACACTGATAGACTGACTCCAGAGAAAAATTGATAGACGCAATAAATATTTCAGCACCTCTTTTGCTGCGTGATTTTATTATTGTTGCGCCCATTCGGCTGTCTACGCTTTTCTCTGATTGTAAGAAGCTGAAATATTTAGTTTTTTTTTTTTTCGAGGGGATCAAAATTTTTGGAAGTCTTTGAGATAGCGTACCGAAATAAAGAGCAACTACAATGGTAGGATGACTCCAGAGAAAAATTGATAGACGCAGTAAATATTTCAGCAGCGTGACTCTTGTGCTGAGTGATAAAGCATCAGTTTTCGGAACAGATAACTAATGTAAAAGATGAACATTCATTGAACTAGTGGAAGATAAGGTAATCTTTTTATGGGTATTCTCCTTTCTCAGTTCGCCTACAATATCACCGAATAGGCAACATGCCTACCCAAGAGCACGAATAGCAGCTACCTCTTCCGAAAAAGCACACTTTCATCCCACTTCGTGTTTTTATTTTATCAGTGAAGGACACTTTAATCTGTATACGTAATGTCTCGTTTCATTTCGCCTTCAATTTCGCCGAATAGGCAACATACTGACCTAAGAGCACGAATAGTTATCTCATTAAAAAACAAAAAATACACACGCATCCCAATCCAGGCTCTCATTTAATCAGTGGATAATACGTACTTATACTTATGGATATCTTCCTTAAAGTTCGCCTTCAATTTTTCCGAATAGGCAACATACCTACCTAGGAGTACGAATAGTTATCTTTTCGGAAAATACACATTCATTCCACTCCGTACTTTCATTGAACTAGTAGACAAGATGTAAATTATAAACGTTTCCTTAGTGAACATTATTCTATCTTAGTTTGCGTCGCATTTCACTGTCTTGTCAGGTAAATCACCCAAAAATACCAAAATCTGTCCATGAAAAATATGTTCTTAAAAATAAGCGCACAACTCCTTCCGCGCTTTTATCGAATCGGTGAATAAAATCAATGAACGGACACTGTCCATTTTTAGTTCGCCTCATGTTGACCAATAAGCAACAAGACTACCTAAGGACATGGTTTTACTCGAAATAATTTACATTAATCTGTTTCTTTGCCCTAAAAGAACCCATAAATAAGTAGTTAACGTCCTCATGAATTCTGTTCTTTCCATTTTGTTTTAAATTCGGCGTTTTATTGAAACCAACCATGGATGCAAAATGTTATCCAAGAGATTCTCAAACATTCTACATTAGTCACGTATTAGGTATAGAAAATGCTCGAATTCAATCGTGACAGTAGACTGGACTTTTCTACATGAATGCTCTTGATATTAAATAAACTTGCATTTTTCGCTCGATCTTCCTACATCGTCATACAACTGTTCATTTATCAGCTCGTCACACGCATTGGATTTGAATGCACTCACCAGTCACCACCCCTTCTGTTTCAGTATAATCTTGTATCAATTATATGATTCGATAAACACCGTTGTCTTGCAATTTAAAATGTTGATAAAATCATTACATTAAAAAAAAATAGCTATTTGTTTTTTTTAACGTGATATAATGTGATTTTTTTAACAAGTGATATAATGTGTCGAACACGTTTTCCAAATTTCAGCTATTTGCCAAGCAAAATGCTCAAGACGTTGTGAAAAATCCACTTACTTAGGTGCGTCAACATTTTGATTAAATTTTGCAACAAAGAACCACTATCTCTAGCTCTCCCATAAAAGCACGTATCTGTATAGGAAAACCAATGGCATGCATGTTGTCTCTAAAATGAGCCAGAAATAGTGGCTCCTCATTGCAGTATGTAATCCATCTGATTATTGATGTTGCAAGAGTGAAAGCCTCCACCCTTGCCAAGATACCAAATGAGAGTCTCTCCTTGTCCATCCTCCTTCAGATTCATTGATGTTCTTGAAACAGCTTCTTATCTCAGGAGGCTCCAGCGGGTTAATTGTTGAAATTGATAGAAAAAGTACACAAAAAGGATATGGAAGGATCCTATTGGTGGAAGCGGGTGGTTGCAATGGACAAAGGAAGCAGGTAATAGACTAACTGACGGCAACCCACGAGAGACACTTTAGCTAGTCCATCATTTTCTCCCTTAGTGCGTATAGGAACCACCCATTAGATATAATAGACGCTCCGCAGCCTGTGACAAAATATGCAAACAATTAAAAAGCAGGTAACAAGGATAAAATTTCACGAACAAAACCAAAACGTTTTGGCTGAAAATTCAGTCATCCTCAGATTGATAAGTAAAAAGAAAAATGGTAAAAAATCTAAAATAGAACCTCTGTACCTTTCAAAGCGAGAATGTTGTTATGTACACAATTGTTGTACACTACTATTGTTATAACAATATTCTCGCTTTGGAAAGTACAGCCAGGTACTATTTTAGATTTTTTACCATTTTTCTTTTTATTCCTCCAACTGAGGGTGCCTGAATTTTCAGCCAAAACGTTTTGGTTTCGTTCGTGAAATTTTAGCCTTGTAACCCGCTTTTTAAATTGATTTTTATTGAACCACCCATTTCAACCAATAGGATCGCTCCATACCCCTTTTGTCTTCTTGTCTATAGCTTCGTCTATCAATTCCAACAATCAACCCGCAGGAGGCCTTTCGCCAAGGCTGGAGGGTCTATCTCTCTCTTTCTGTCTCTGAACATATAAGAGGCATTAACAACATTGACATGCCTCTGTTTCAGTCCATACCCCTTATGTCTTCTTCTTCTCTATAGCTTTGTTTATCAATTTCAACTATCAACCCGCAGGAGGCCTGTCGCCAAGGGTGCAGGGTCTATGTCTCTCTCTGTCTCTGGAAATATAAGAGGCATTAACAACTTTGACATGCGTCTGTTTCATTTCATACCCCTTATGTCTTCTTCTTGTCTATAGCTTTGTCTATCAATTTCAATTATCAATTGTCTATCAATATTAATTATTTCTGTCGCCAAGGCT